CGATTTTGTCCACCCACCGTATTAATCTTGATTCTTTGGTTGTAGAAATCCAGGCATAATAATAGCTTTATACGAAAAGAAACGGGACGTAAGGCCTAGACTCTCGTAAAATATTATAGATAGTCTAATAATTAAATTAATTTGTGCCGGTTTCTTTATTTTTATAGAGGTTAAGTTTTAAATTTAATATATGGATTAAGTCTATAAAACACGAATAGAATGAACAACCAACTATTTAGATATATAATTCGTAATGTAAAAATTTCAACCCGGCATATAAATTATACGAATCCAAGACTATATTATCCATATAATTACATCTAATACGCGTTACGCCCCCCAAATTTATATAAAATTTTAGTCAGAAATTATATTATTATATTTAATTTTAACGAAGATACAAAATTTATATCAAACAATATTTTAGGCTAACGCAAGAAATTTGCCGAAAACAAAATTGTTAACGACTCATTTTTTAAATCTAAAATTCTAAACTCAAGGTCTCTATAATAGAGCCGCCGTCTACTCGTAACGAAGGGTCCTATCGAATTCAAATTATTAGAAAGAATTGTCCGATAATAGCTTCTTTATTTTTCTCAAATAATTAATTAATACTGCCGAAATAATATATTCAAATATATTCAAGAATTCGAAAGAATACCGAAATATCAATAAATAATATAATAAAAAATTTCAATCGACTTTAACTCAGAAGAATTACCTCGGAATTTCGCAATAAATTCGACAACATTAATCTTCGGTCCATCCAGATCCGAGATTCCCATATTTCCTTTCTAATCGGATCGTTCCCTTTCTCATCAATACAGGTTCCCCATCGCCACGAGATCGTAACTTCGCCCCCCCTCAAGATTCCGCCCGCCACTCCACGACCGCATAAGCGTCCTCACCCACCGTCCCACGTCATACATATCCGCCACTCCACGACACTCCCCGACGCCCTCCACCCCCCACTCCCCTTATGCCGTATCCGCCACTCCACAGCCTCCCCATTCCCACGCATCCCCACACTCCGCACGCCCACTCGCTCAACTTCGCCCGCCACTCCGCCACACTCCTCGCATCTCCTGGCCTTCACCTGCCACTCCAACAGATTCCCCGCAAATACACCCCACCGCCCCCACAACACACACGCCCTGACCCGCAATGGCGTTACTCATCTATAATAGGTTGCTTGCCTGCACCATCTCCGGCTCTGGGCACGACACCCCTTTCGAACTTCTCTGACTCCAGAAAAGCAAGTCTATCTAATAGATACATACATACCTACCTACCTACCTACCTACCTACCTACATACATACATACATACATACGTATATATATATATATACAGATATATATATATATATAGATATGTGTATATCTACTAAATACATATATATATATATATATATATTTATTTATTTATTTATTTATTTTCGAGTTGAGGTGTTGGTTTTTGCTTTGCCTTTGTGGATTGTAGCAAAAAATCGCCACAGTGAGACTGTGGCTATTGGCTCTCCATCCCTACGCTCTTCGAAACCGTCTTCGGAGCTGTCATCTGCATCTCCACAAACTCGATTTGAACCTCATCAAGGAGTTGCAAGGCTGCTCTCGCACTTACTCGCGGTAGCCAATCAATCGCGCATGACCATTTGCAGCCAGAATGCATTGGGGAATCTTGTCCGCCACTGCACCAATAGCGAGATGATGCTGAAGGATGGGATCTGGTCGGGAAATGTCTTGCTTGCGGAAATGCGACTTGTGTAAGCGGCATGGAGTGTTTTCCGGTTGGATTCGATTGATCTGCCGTCCTGCGACTACTGCATTTACTATCCTCATACCTCCACTCTCTGTCGAGCTGTATTTGCGCGAATGCGTTTCTGCGCTGCGGAAGTCGTTGGGTGTGCCTGCGACAAGAACATCCGCAAATAGCCAATCACCGCCTGTCAGATCTACCCGTCCATAGTTCTATCTGCATTGCAGAATTGCCAGGCCTTGCAATCTTCACTAGACTGCGGATTCACAAGCAAGCTCCTGTACACATGAACGCCTCAGGCCAACGGCGTGGACAACATGCTGCCACGTCCAGGCGAAAAGCCAGCCATCTCATGCTTTGCGCCCGGCTTGCTTCTCCCAAAGCGACAAGCACCGCCTGCCACCGCAGTCACTCTGTCTTCGACAGCAAAGTCTCAAAAACACCATCGGCCTCACTTGCCGGCGTACCCCCGAAAAGATCCGGCACAAGGAGGTCGGTCGCCTGCTTCCACGAATAAGGCCAACAGAAACTCTTCAGCGGTGGTGTGAAATTGTGAAACGTTCTGCGGGCATTGCAAATCAAAGGCCTCGATGTACGACTCGGAGTTATCCTGACATCAGGACTCTACCCAGCCTTTCATGTATATGAGAAGCTTGTGCAAACGTGACTATGTCAGAGGACGCCACCACTCCCTCGCCGAAAGCTCGCACGCAGAACTCACTAATTTGCACCTGGACGGCTGAGCAGCTATCATGCTGACATGCTGTCATGCTGCTCAGTGGCACGTCAACCAGCCTGCTGGAGCGCGTTCTCCGCCTTAGCACAGGAACGTTGACGTTGCTCAGGTGAAAGCACTCTGACAAGTGCCTGAATCTCGAAGCCCACACAGTCTGGCAAGCACCGCATGTGAACCTCACAGCAGATTTCCACTGCAAAGGATGCGAAGACGTGGAGACATGGCGCCTCCTTCAAGCATCGCGATACGAAGCTCCAGTTCGGCCTCAGCTGAAGATAACTTAAAGGTACGGTCTCTCCACGCCACTCGATGCAAAAGCGAGTCTCAGGCGTTGTAAATCCAAGATCTGCAAGGATGGTCCTCACATGTATGCAACTGAAGAGATTACACCTCTTCTCTGGCTCGTCTCTTCGCCAACACAAGCGAGCATGGTCGCGTTTGGTTTGGGCTTCGGCTCAAGAGTCATAGCCCCTCTGTGTAGCCCCAGCTTTGCGCTGTTGCATGCTGTCGCCTTGTCACGCTGGTTTGTCTTGGCCCTACTCCCCCCCAGGATCACAAAACCCGCAAAAGCGCAGGAGATCCATGTAAAATTCACGCTACATAAGTGAAGGAGATCTGGCCCCCTATCATTCTCTTTCCAACTCTTACTCCTGACAGGTATGGAAAACATCGGTGTCTTCGGGGCCCCCACTTCACCGATACTTATACTGACTTCTCTCGCTGACTTCTCACATGTCTGCAAAAGCCGGCGCCAAAACCAGATTGAGTGCTTGCTTTAGTGACTTTAGTGTTGCGGGTCGATCGTCTGGATCCCGTAATGAGAGGAGACAAGAAAGCCACTTTCAATGAGAACCCGTTTAAGATGATACGAAGCAAGAGGGTCTAGGTGTTCGGGGACCGTTGTGACCTTCCAAGGGCTTTCGCATCTGAGGTTGCAAAGGTCACGCCAGGCTCAACAACATGCAAAATACGTTTCACATAAGTAAACTCTGAAACGATGGCAGAGATGCCAGGATTTGAGCCTATGTCAGATACTTGGGAGCCGTACCACAGTTGTTGAACCTCTTAGTTTGGAGAATCCGACTACATATGTTATCTTCCGAATCAGGTCTTTGGAGATTCGCTCAACGAGGCATTAAAGAACTCTACACGGTTGCGGATCGGAGACCAGAACCTTCGTAAACTATACTATGTCCTACGGTATTGTTATGTTGGACTATCTAATCCGGTATTGCATTACAAGCTCTCGGAACCGCTACGAGCCCTTCCCATTAGAGATGCTTCTGGAACTTTATTGGCAGGCCATGTCCATCTAAATCATGAGCTTGGGATTGGTACCTGGTAAACTCCACCGGAAAAAGGCAAATCTTCTGAGAGCTGGCGACCGGAGGAGTGAATTCACGTCGAAGGCTTGGTCTGCTCACACACTTCGCCCCCTAGCAAGGAAACAGAGACGAAGAACTCTCTCCCGGTCTAGGGCTTGGGGTCTGATTTAGGGTTTCGGGTTCAATTTTTAGGGTGCCGGGTCTAGGGTTTAGATCCCAAGTCATCTTTCAAGAACTCTAAGGCAGAACTGGGGCTTGGACTCGGTGGCAAAGACCTTCAAATCAGCCATGCCGATGCTCTGCAATGGAGGGAGAGCCTCCTTCAAGTCGGGAGTCTCAAAGCTCAAACGCAGAAGAAGCTTGTTCTGAGTGCGAGCACGGAATTCATCACATCATGGAGGGAATCAAAATCCCTTGGCAGGCACTGTCTTGCAGTGTACACATTCATCAGTGAAACATCTGCACATCCTGGCCGGGGATCCAGCGGAAACAATTTGTTAAAGCCTTCCACGGCCATTGATAGCCGTTCCTTCAAGTGCGTTTCCAGACGGGCTTGGTTCTCGGTATGGTGGCCTCAAAAAACCGCAGATGTCCGTAAAGCGCAGAGGCTCTGATGTGCTCAGAATTCGCTGGGACGAAAACCAATCTTGTAGCACTCAACCAGCCGGGCCAAGCCCTCCGAGGCTTGCAGTTCTGGGCTTCGCAGAGCTTCGCAGATCTGCGCAGATTCCCTGCCTTCAACGAAAACTCGTTGACCCTCTCCACTGCTGCATCCTGGGAGTAGACCGGGAACCCGCCATGCATGGGATCCCATGGTCCCCGAATCAACTACTACGAGGTCGGCACCAAGATGGCCTGCAAGCTGCAAGACTTCAGAATCGGCTCAGGGCCAAGGATACCCGTCTGGCCTGGCCTTTCTGAGCTCTGCATGGCTCACCAACAACGTGTTGTACCTGCTCGGAAGAAAGTGGGCAAGCGGGCACTTCTACAATTCAATCAAAACAGACATGCACACCACACAGATATGATATAACGGCTCGAGACAGAAGTGTTCTTGCAAATTCTGCGGCCAGCGTGGTACCCAAGACAAATCCATGCTTCTCGAATTGCCCAAAAAAGAAATGAACTTGCAGGGGGTCCCCCCATTTCTGAAAACAGCTCGACCTCGACCGTAAGCCCAAATCAACTCCACTCTAATCAAGCACGAGTCTTGAGAACGTGGGCCTGGGCTCCAGGTTTCAAAGACAAACAGCCGCAGGCGCACGCCCAAGCACAGCGCCACAGGGCGAGTGGCTTCAGATCCGAAATGCCGTGGATGATTTGAGGCCTAGAGCTGAATTGCCAGGTCGCAGCAACGCTGATAGCCATGACCTGACGTAGGCGGCCCACGCGACAGACTCCATGAAGCCTTTGTGCCGATACTGGACCTTCAAGTCATCAGATGCTTCCGTGGAACCTTCTGTCCGCTGGCAGACTCAGCCGCCCACCATTGCAAAGCCCCATACGATCTGCACCAGACCTGACAAAGAAAAGAGGCGCTCTCCCTTTCACGTTCTGCTCGTCCACGCGGCACCTTGGGCCGTGAAGCCGGCCTTGTTGTTCCTTGCAGCGTTGAGTCACAGCCCGTGTCAGTCTGGGAGATGCTGCAAGGCTCCGACTCAAAACACATGGCCACTTTCTCGCACAAGTCTGATTGCCTGTCACGAGAAACGGCGAAGTCCAAGGCACAAACACCGCTACATGCATCCTGGGCCTCATTCCAAGTGCTCCAAAGGCCCAAGTCACGTGAGCCAGCTGCGATGGGGTGAACTTTTCAGCCCTCTTGGCAACCTGCCAGTATGTAGATCTCATGTCGTGTTGATACCGACATGTGCCGTTTTGAGCCTTCGAGCCGATCTCCGACATCAAACCAAAATGTTGCCTTCGTATTGCTCCCAGTGACCGAAGGCTGAAAGGGGGAGGTACGCTCATCTCAGGGCAGCGCTGCCCAGTGACAGCAAAGGCCCAGGTGAGCATCGTGATCTCTGCGGCCTTGAAACCTGGAGAACTTCCACATGATGCCGGAGCTCTCAGATGCGAACGTCCGTACTCTGAGCTCATGCACTGCCAATTTGCGGCTCTGCTTGCTCTGCAATGAACCTGCTTCAACGTCCAAGTCAATTCAGTCCTTCCTCCATCCCAACATTTCTTGAAACACCGAGAAGAGGAGGAAAGAGAGAAGTTCCAGAGAGGAGCGGCAGACCGCACATCTCCCTACGAGTCATACCACGCTTCACGAGCAAGCACACATTGCAGAAGACTGAGAAGAAGAACGTTCACCGTTCAACCCGCACAGCAAGTCCCCCTTGCACTTTGTTCATGGAGAGTTTCTGCCTCGGAATCTCGAGATCTAAGTGACTACACGTGAGACGGAGTCTCAGAAACTGCAAGCGGAAAGCTTGGAGGCCGAAGAGTTTGGAGCATCACGAGAACAACATAACAACCAATTTCAGAAGCCTCATCACCGAATCGGTTCCCATCTGGTTCTTTGCGAAGGCCCAAGCCTTCATGCAGGGGGAAGGAACTCGTACTTTTACTCCTACTCGTAGGCTGTGATATGGTCTGGCACAACTCTAAGTAGCTGGGGGTCTGTCTATGTTGGCAATTTCCGCGGGCTCCATGGAGGCCGGGCCGGCCGAATTCCTGCAAAGAGCAGATGCCATGTGTGCATTTCGTCACGACTCTGCCAGGACTCGTCCTCTGCACTTGCTGAGCGATGGCCAGGTAGAGGCCTCTGTCCTCCCAAAGCCAAGAGAGAAAGGCAGAGATACGACAGAAAACTAAGGTGTCGATGGCTGGGAATGAAACACACACCCGAAACTCCTGGACTCTCAGGTTGGCAAACGCCCAAGCAAGGTGTGCCAACTCCTGCAGCAGTGAGCTCTGTTGCGTTTTCGTGAGGCTGTAGTGGCGCATTTCTGTCGGCTTGGCATCTTGTAAGGTGGATGCGGGATTGGTGAAGTTGCCGATCTGGTTGATCGACCTTCGCACGGACTGCACCGATGTGCTGCTGAATATATGACATCCTCAGCGCATTGGGTCATGGCTCGGCCATGATCGCATTCAGGAGCGGATCCTGAGGGATTACTCTTGGGTGCCACATGCGATACTTCATTTCAATGACCTCTGAGCGCTCCACGTATTTGAAACTCAGCGTCCTCAGGTTTTGTCTATTTTGTCTACAAGCAAGCACAGACTAGCTTGCCCCACTCATTCCGACATGCCCAGCTGTCGCCGAAGCTCGAAAACGCCCACGAAACCATGGACATCTGGGCAGGCTCAAAGTTGTCTCTTTGCCTGCGAATCATACGCAGCTCCGAGGACTCAATAAGACTCCCCAAGATCTGCCTGTGGAGCGTCTGGGCAATCGCCTTCAGGAGCGGCTCCTCCGGAGCAGCCGAAGCTTGCAGAAACTCTACACTTCCTCTGTTCTGCGTCCTCTCGGGCGCCCCACTGCGCCATGGCCCAGGAGATGCTTGCCCTGCCCATCCAAAGGCCAACCGGCACTCCATTTCACCCGACACAACAGAGTGAGTACACTGTCACTGCTTGTGGAGGCAGTTTGGATGGCAACACGGAAGCGCTTCGGTCGAGAAAGCATGCTCAACGCACTGTTCCAGCAGCGCAATTCCACAGCACCAGGGCTGCAAGTTCTGTACAGTCCTTGCCACCAGGATCCATAGAGGATGAGTGCAAGGTTCGCAAGACGGAAGCACTTCTGTTCAGAAGACAGGCCAAACGAGGCCAAAAAAAAACTGAAGCGCTGTCTCACAGGCCCACACTGGGGTTCTCCTCTCCCTCGGCGGTGTCTGTGGGAGGAAGGACGCCGCTCTGCTGATCGCACCATTCGTTCCAGGAGCGGAGCTGCTGAGCCAATACAGCTGAGCCAGCAGGATCTCCTCGGCCTCAAGGCTGTAGAGCTCGTTGTACTCGGGGATCACCATGCTGGAGTAGAAGCGTCGCATGAAACGAAGCAGAAAGCCCTCCAGCTGCAAGGCCTGGCGGGTGTGCGACAGACAACCACGGCAGGGAGGCTCTCAAGGCGGATGTCATCGGGAGCGTAATTTCGCTTGTAGAACTGGAGTCTCTTCGTCAGGCCGAGGTCTTTTCTAAGACCATTCAGCGACAGGTGCGAAGCGGCCAACTTAAGACAGTTCGTGAACTTGATCAAGTGAACGATGTCCAGAGTGTTATGAGCCATGATGGAGCGGCTCGTCAAACTCTCCAGGTTGAGCTCGTCGAGGATGCGATGGCAGACTTCCTTGATGCGCTCCCCATAGTCAGGCAGGCGGCGACACATCCAGTTCGCAATGGCAATGCGGTATCGGTTCTGGACGTTTTGTGATCGCTGTTCGGGCAGGTCAGTCATGTCGGGCAAGCCTTGGTTCTTCTCAAGCTGATAGAAATTTAGAGGCCACACGAGACTGGGGGTCCACCACGGGTAGATCCAGCAACCTTCGCCATCGAGCAAAGGTGGCAGCCCCTGGAAGTGCACACCTGCCTCAGAAAAGCAGATGCGGTGTAGTCGCTGCCATGCGTCCACATCGATATCTCCGCTTCGATTCAAGCGAGTCCAACGCTGCCAACGCTCTTCCGGCTTGCCTGTTCCCAACACAGCTGCAGGCACCGCGTGTGCCGCTGGGCCGGCGCCTCGGACGCACTTCCGAGGCATGACGAGGCGAAGTGCTTCCGAGACGTGGGCAGTGGTGAGGTGAAGTGCTTCCGAGCAGTGGGGCGACGTGCTTCCGAGTGATGTGGGGCCACGTGCTGCCGACAGACTCGCGGATGAAGTGCTTCCGAGCAGGCCAGAGGGCGAAGTGCTTCCGAGATCTTGCGAAGTGCTTCCGAGCGGTGTGGGGCGAAGTGCTTCCGAGACCTTGCGAGGTGCTTCCGAGCGGTGTGGGGTGAAGTGCCTCCGAGACTTGGTGAAGCGCCTCCGTGCGTGATGAGATAAGGTGCTTGCAAAACTTGGTTAGGTGCAGCTGAGCGGCAGCACAGTGGCGGGCTTCTTCTTGGCCTCTGCTCTCAAGGCACGAGGTTCTTCTGGATCAGGCAACCCCGAGGGAAGATGCCGGGACTCCAACGGCAGCTCCATGACTGCAGTGCTGCTGCGACGTGTACTTGGCATGACGAGACCACTTTCGGCTGCCCACTGCAACATCGACTGATGCTTCTTTTTTTCTCTATGGAACTTCTCAATGATGCCTTGAAGCAGCCGTTCTAGCACAGGAGACCAGAACCCATCCGAGAATGTGTGGAGAAGCTGACCCCCCTCGTGAAGACGATAGTTGCCGTATTGCAACCCCATGACATAGAGCGACAGGACCCTCTGCTGGGACATCGTCCGAGAACTCCGGGAGCGGCTGTCCGAGTGCGACGTTGTCCAGCGAGGCCGGAAGAGCTTCCGGGTCTGATGCCTTCCGCAGAGTACGGCTTAGAGGCTCCTGTGGCCTACTCAAGCACTGTCGGAGTGCCTGCTCCAACTCAGGTCGGCGATCTCCGACGGACTCTTGGCAGAACTCTTCATGGATGCGCTGGGCGACATCAGGTAGGGATCCTCCTTCACTCTCACACTGGACGATGCCGGTGAGCTGTTGTACAACAGCCCTGTTTTTTCGCTGGAGTCCTGGGTGGCGTTTCCTCCCGCAAGGTCTCTGTCAGAGCCTGCGACGGAGGCGTGGCAGGATCCAGCTGCGTGGGCATGTCCAGTGACTCCGCCACGTCCAGTGAGATTGGATTCGGGCTCTCTTCCATGGCTGCCGAGCCCGCTTCTATCTGAGAGGCAAAAGGCCTCTGCTTGGTGCTTGAGCCGGACTCAATATTGCCAAGGTGCAACCATCTTCAGCTGAGAACAAAGAGAAAGCGAAATGGAAACAAACCATGCATTGCCGACCGGAGCTGCGCGGAGTCCCTGCAGCAAAAGCTGAGCTTCAGAGCAGGCTCTGCGTGCTGAAGGTGTCCATCTTTTCCTGCTCACGCGACCCGTACGTCAACTCAGGCTACGGCGAGCGCACAACATGAAACATGTCAACAAGCACGGCGGTCCATGCACTCGCGGGCTAGACACTGAGCGAGCTGAGCATTCCACCTCAGATGTGGAAGCAGAAAGACTTTTGGAGAGCTCGAGGCTTGTTGAAAAGAGGCACTGCAAAAAGAACCGACAAGAAGACTTCGGTTATTTCCGCCATCTTATCTGATGCTGTGATCATGGCTTTCTAATCTTGTTGAAAGCGCTTCCTGCTTACAGAAGAGCTCACCGAAGCATCCGCTTCGGCTCACCCAAGATCCGAATTTCATTTCCCAGAAACACCATAATAGACCTCTTTTCGAAGTTGCATCCGCGTGGGATGCAATGTTCGACAAAGCAATCCCCATCCAGGTTAACTCAGGTTTGGCCCTATGTCGGGCTTCGCTTTTAGTACTTCCATCCGTGCCGAGATTGCCTGTTATTTTGGTTTCCAAAAAACCATTAGCAAAAGGGAGCCAAAAGGCGGGCTGATTTGCAAAAACGCATTGACGGAATCACAGATGCCCCCATGCGGGTCACAACTAGACCTCAGGCCGAGCCTTGCCCTTCAAAAACCGATCCGGAGGCCCTCACAGTCCACACTTCGCAAAAGCCCAAGCAGTGTTGGAGAGCTCCTCGTGGTTGAAGCCTCGGCAAAGGCTTCCTTTGGAGCACCGTGCTTCTGTTGGCGCATGGTGCCTCTAGATGCCTGCAAGACGAGATTGCAAGCGCGCCCTTTGTTCTGAGTTGATGCACCTGGGAATCAGGGGCGGGGCATGCTTCGCGATGACAAAGCTGCTGTTTACAGCAGCCAGCGTGTGAAACCTGAAAACCTACAGATCTAAAAATGGGACAGCCAGAAGCCGAGGCCTTGCTTACTGCATCAAGAATGACACTGAACGCTCAACATCTTACATCATCACTTCGGAATCGCGGAAACAAGGTGGCTTCTTGGGCATGCTATTTCCTTGCATTAGCCGGCACAGCGATGAGGCGATGCCCACGATCTACAAAATGTTGTGCTACAGAGAGAGGGCGGCTTTAGCTCCTCCGGGCACAACACGTCCTCCATGCCAGAGTGAGAATTCTCTAGGGTGTTCTACGCAGCCACCTTGTTAGCGGTAGAGACTATCTTGGCTTTCGCACATGGAGCTTGCTGGCCTCAGACAGGTCCGTGCAGCTCTCTACTGCCCAACACTAGCCGTGAGTCAGAATCTGAATTCAAGCTAAGCTAGCCGCAGCAGCATGCCTGGGCTCTTGTTCGCAGCAGCCGCTGACATCACTTTTCGCTGGTACTACCATTACATGCTCGTCGTACCATTACCAAACATCGAACTCTCTTGCATCGTGGATGCAGTTGGCTTCCATGGGGCTTGTTGCTCGGCGTCGATCCGGCAGGAGACCCTCCGCGGCCAATGTTGGACCCAAGTGCCTGAAGTTGAGGACATGAGTGGTACGCACTCTAGAACGAGCCAGCTATGGTTTCCAATTTTCCAAGTCCACGGCAGGACGCTGGCCCAGACGAGGTAGCAATGGACCTCGCGAAGGCCATCAAGCAGCTTTGAACACCCTGTACCTATGCCCATACAAGAACACTTGTAAAAATGCTTGGGTCGGGCACGATGTGCGTCCAGAGGCCTCAGACAATCTCAGACACATAGAAACAGTTTAGACCCCGACAAGATCCTGCTGCACGGCTTCAAGTTGCACGAGGCTGCAACGCTTGCCGAGCCGGGTTTGTAGACCGGTTCAGGAAGCCTGCACGTGCTCAGGTAGCACATGTTGCCAAGGGCCGAGGCTTTCGGCCTGGTGACCGGCTCTCCCGGGTGTCGTCTATGTTCGTCAACACACTTGTCCTCTGCTCTAGGTGACCCGCCGCTCCCAACTTGATTGTCGACCCCGAAACACTTGGCTCAAAACGGCAGCCATGCCAGCACACCTGAAAGCTGAGCAACTCCACAGTCTGAGATTCTGCGAACTCGTGCGCACCGGCCTATTGGCGGCGGAAACCGCACCGAAGACGTCCCATCAGAAGGATCATCTTTTGCAACAATCCCCTGGTCGGGCGACTGCGGAGCTTTCGTTCAATGAACCATCCGAGGCTATGACATACCAAGGCCTCTTGACCGGCGAGCGTTCTCAACCGATCATCCCACTGGAGGGCGGGGTGTTGCTCCACAGCTCGCTGCAGTGCTCGAAGCTCTGGCCTTACACAGTCTTCATGAAAACATCCACTGGTCCTGGTCTGATCGTGGGAAAGGTGGAAAGCTTTTCGCTTTAGCTGTCTTCCAGGGCTGCAGCACCCGAACTTGTCGTCCGTCCTTCCCGTCCTCCCCGAGACTTGACAGCCAGCTTCTCGCAACAGAACACCGCAAAGCACCTCTGCATCCGTCGCCGCTGGGGATCCGATCATACCTCAAGAATCTTAACAGCAGCTGCAGTCAAAACCAAGCTCGTGGTAAGGCTTGCCAAGCAGTTCCTACGCACCCACCCACCCGCCCGGGCGCTGGCGCGCACGCACCAAAACAGAGCAAACTAGCACCGGCACACTCACATATGGGGCTGTAGCTCTGAGCACTTGAAAATCAATTCGCCAAGTGTCTGCCCACCAGAAGGCTGGGATCTTGCCCACCGAATCGCGACATCAGCATCCCTGTCAGAAGTCACATTGGCTCTCCGACGTTCATGTGCATGTCCGGAAGTTGCTGCAAGTGGCTCATCAGCATTGCATCCGGATCAGCTCCATCACCTTGGCCAGACAGACCGTCGGTCATCAACCGCGTCTAGGCTCACAGATCATTGACAAACCCTCGGTCTTCGCTTGCAGCTGATGATTGAAGGCATCCTGTCGTGAGACACTTCTCAAAGCAGTCGGTTTCATGGGCCTCTTGCAACTGGCATCAAGACAAAAAGAGGGGTGAGCGAGCAACATAGTTACAGATAGTCACTCCCTCTGGTGGATTTACATTCGTGTTGTCGACAAGATTTCGATCCGTTCGGGACTGAAAGAAACTTCCAAGCTGGGGTAGCTAAGGTCGGCGCCATCTTCCTCGCTGTTCTGCGAGTCTGGAAGCTTCTGCTCCCAAGATCTCCACCAGGCCGCTCGCTCCTAGGCGAAACGCCATCCGATCTCCTCTCTCAACAGTAGCTCTCACCTTAGGAGGGCACTGGACTTCCTTTGCTGCCTGCGGGAGACCCGAGCTTCATCTTCTCCTCTTTCAGCGCCTCCAGCCTGCGGGCCGTGGCTTTGCTGTCGGCTCCCCCGACTTTGCATCCGGGACTCCGGGCTTGGCTCCGCCCACCTTCGAAAGACTGAGACTGAGCACTGGGTGCAGAACTGCGAGAATCAAGCGTTTCTGCCTCTGGTTTGCTTAGCTCCTGCCGTGGCAGAACTGCGGCACTGAAATGTGTGGCAATGGACTGCACTCACACTTCACGAAGGATCTCCTCAAGCAGCATCTCGTACCTCATCTCCGCTGCCTGTGCCAGCGTCAGGCCGGCCTGGCAACACGGACGCCGAGGTGACTGCAAGATGAGACAGAGGGTGGCTGGCCTTTTTGGCCATGGCTTCATAAGCCTCCATAAAGCCTCTTCAACGGGAGTTTGCTCCAACTTTCTCGTATTTTGCTACTTGGCGGCTCTGCTTGTGATTGTTTCCGTGTCACTCATGTCGAGCATGGGTTCTTAGGTTCCTAGTGGTTCTTGAGCTGCTTCAGGGTTTTGGCGTTCGCGGGAGATCTCTCGAGTTCTGCGGACCAGCCTTTGTGATGTGGGCGGTAAATGGGCCCGGGACGAAAGACCTAGGATGCCAGAGGTCCCGCCACACATGTTGCTCAGTCGCCGCATAGGCGTCCGGCAGTTAGGTCCCGATGATTGTCGGAACCTTGGCCATTCAAAACTGTCTCGAATGGCGAAAAGCATGATGTGTTCAGCCAGGCCTTTGAGCAGGACACACATGCACCTTCAGTTCGGAGGTAGCAGGAACTGCGAGAGAGGTAGCTGTGTGAAGCTGAGATGGCAGCGACAGGTTGTCTTTGGAATGCGACTCCAAAGCTTTGACACATACCGCTTCTGCAACCTTTCCTTCACGCACTACTCACCGACTCTACTGCCAGGTTTAACGGAGGTCATGGCGAATACTAAAACCCCCCCCTTCCTGGATCGTCCTTGCCCCGGAGAGTTGCAGCCTCGAGCAAGCTGCACATGACCCGTCGGACGACAAAAGGAAGCATGCCAATGCCCAGCCAAGCAGCAGCATGCCTGATAACCTGCAGTCACCGACCAGACGCTTCTAGAGACAGGCAAAACCGGCATCGCAGCATCTTGCACAGTTCCGGCCCAGCGGCATCAGGGTTCGGGAAGTCTCCCTCCGAAATCCCGTCACAAACCAGCAGGAGAAAGTGGGAATCCTGAGTCCGAGCGTCAGCAGCTGCCATGCAATCGCCAAAAAAAGGAGGTGCGCCCCAGCGGCATCGCAATCAAAGCGAGCGAACTCAGGATTGCAGGTCACCTCGCCCAAGTGAATCTTGGAGTGAAGGAGATGACCAAAACTTATGCGTCACGCGGCTGGTCGATCTTCAGGACCTGGGCCTCCTGTTCACATCATGTCAAGGAGCTGCAAACGGCTTCGCCCCTTTTGTCAGTCCTGTCTTCTTGAACTCCGCGTCTCCGAATCCGCGGGAAACCGCCAGTTCGCCGTTCACCCGTGCAACGCCACCGGCTGCCTGCAAGGCGATGCAAGAAGGAAGCTGTGCCACGCTAGGCCACGCACCAGTCCCATACCTTCTCGACAGTGCCGCCACAGCCTTACTCCAAAAATCGACCAAAGCATGCATGATCGCTTGCATCCTCTCGCTACGCTCCATCACAGTGAACATCGGGTCAGCTGCACCCTGAGAGCTAACTGTTCATTCCATCCTGTACCGTGCATGTCATGGATCTCCCATCGTAAGCAAATGGCGATAGATTCGCTGGCGCTCTGCAGGGTGGCAAGGCTTGTGGTCGGTGGTCAGGCCTCAGCTACACAAGTCGGAAGAAGAAAACCTCCCAGACACCAGCCGGATGCACACATGTAATGTGATGCACTGCATCACGGGCTTGACGGGCCTTGGTCAGTTCCTCCACCGTCTACTATTCTGCCATCTCGCCGGCCGAGAAGGATGCGACTGTCACCTGAGCCACATCGGGGAAGTGCCGGCCGCCGGAGGACCCCAAAACCTTCAGGAAGCTCGTGCTGAGACATGCGCCAGCATTGGCAACTCGGATCTGGCACTTGCCACCGATTCCCTTCTGCACGATGCACATCGTTGCAGTCGACCTGAGCCAATCTCTGCAAGAAAGAAGTCACCTCATCGACTTCAGCCTGCTCTAGCGAACCAAGACGAAGTGGAGCGACCGGGCGGACTTCCACACACGAAGACTGTGTCATAGACTCTCTGTCCCTCTGGTCCCCCTGCGCAATCTGCACGAGGTCTACAGGCCGAGCATCCGACCCACTGGCCTGGCACTTCTCACAGATTTCGGGCTCTCTCTCTCTTCCTTCCTTCGGGTGTAAGGGCGTCTCAAGCCCCCCGGCCCTTAAGGGCCCCCCATCGTTCGGGGTTTTCGGGGGAAGGCAACGGCCAGCTCGGTCGACGTTCCCACGTACCAAAGAAGAAGTTCGGCAAAACCCCACGTACCAAGATAACCGACAAACCCCGACGTACCACTTAGTACGTACGTAACCTGTTGGTACGTGTTCCCCCTGGGTCAAGGACGTGCATGGACACCATTATCACTAGCTGCCTCCCGAACTCCCCCTATCAGTGGAACAAACGTTAGAGAGAGATCTTCTTCTTCCACACAGACAAAGGGCAAGCAAGGCTCACCCCTGCACGCGAGCGCGCACTGTCCTCCTGTGTTCCGGTACGAATACTACTGCAGATGAGGCTCTGTGCAAGAACTGTTGAACCCCCTAACCCCCTATCCTAGGGAACCCCCCGGCCTCATCTGCTGGGCTCAAGCCAGCTCTGTAGACACCCTATTGCCAACTCACAACTGGCTACTGCTTTGTGCCCCCATCAACACAGGTCAAGAAAGTTGAGCTAAGCACATGAAACATGAGTGTGACTGCAGCACAAAGTCTGAGGCCCCGGCCCTAGCACGAACTCTTACACAGACTGTGACCCCACCCAAGGAACACATACCCCCTAGAAGCAGTGCCAACACGGTGCTCCTATGGCTAAGACTGTTCCTACGGGTCCGGGTTGCCTCTGTTGTCAAAAAAGCCAGCTTGTTGTCGCCTTCGGCGATGCTCGCTCGGCCCTACTGGCTCTCCCCTCTCACTGGCTTCGGCTCCGGTGTCCACCCCACTGTCTGCTGCATCTTCCCCCAGCGCCGCGAGTCGTGCTTCTTCCTGTTCTTGCCGCTCATATTCTTCCAGAGCTTGGATCAGGTCGTCGTCCGTTGGGCCCCCAAACTCTTCTTCTCGTTCAACCTGGGAGTCGTCCGTCGTGGGGATGCTCCCCGGCCACTGGTCAATGTTCAGTGGCGGGACCCATCTGGAGTCTGCTGGCGCCCCCCGCTGTGGTTGGCTCCCCTCCTCCGTGGACTGCGTGTCCACCAGCACTGTCTCCGCCGGCTTCGCTTGTCTCCACACCGCAATGGCAGCCATCAGCTGCCGTATGGGCTCCCCCCCATACTGGACGAAGTGTGCCCCTGCCTTAACGTTTCGCAGCAGTAGGTCGACTCTGGTGTCAAAGTCCCCCTCTGGTGTTGCTGGGGCTTCTTCGGCCCCTTCGTGCAGCGCAACCACATCGGCTGGATGTACGTAGTCCAGCTGGCTGGACTCCTCGAGGAGCTCCTCGGCCTCTTGCATTGCCAGTGCCACTGCTTCGGCCCAGCCTGGTGTCATCCAATCCAGATCTCCTTCAGCTGTGGCCCCCATGGCGACTTCAATAGCTGCCCTCGCTTGCTCCAGACCATGTCGTCCATGTTGCACCTGGTAGCCCCCCTGCCCGACCAGCGCCTGCTGGAACTGCACTGTCCCCCTGTCCAGGTCTCCCCTTGCCTCCTTCAGGTCCTCGTAGATCTGGTGCTGGTTGTAGCCATATTCCCCCTCGTCTGAGGCCACATCGGTGAGGCGCATACGGGAGATGGATAGCATATTCAATATGCGTCGTTTCTTGCAAGGACCCATTGCCCCCACTGTCCCATCTTCTGT